AGATTTAAATGCTGGACAAAGTATTGACTAGTCCTCTAGTCCTGCCCAAGCTACGCAAGCCCTGTGCTCCTGCCAGTTGTTTGGGAGAGAATGGCTGGAGAATTTATGTGCATGTGGCAAGCAGATTGGCACTGCAGCTGGGTTGTAGGGAGAAGAGAGAGACATAGGAACTGGAATGCAACGAATGAACAGCATTAGAAGCCGAGCAGGAGAGGAAGGGAGAAGAGCAGAGCAGGGAGGAGGAGCATGCTGGAGAAGGCCTGCTGCTGTCCAGCCCTCAGGGAGAGTCTTCCTGCTACACAGTGTCCCATCAAACACGGTCTCTGGTCCCTAATCTCAGGTCTGGTGCTTCCCCAGGCCCCCTGCCCCCTGCTGCAGTGTGCTTGCTGAGCGAGGGGCACCCCGACAGGCTGACAGCATCCTGGGGAGCAGCAGCCGGCGGGCGAGATGGCTACGCACTGACTCTGTACCATGGGGGCTTGGACACTGTGTCAGCTACAGCTTCCTTTGGGAGTGACATCAACAACTACACCTTCACGGGCCTGGCTCCGGGAAGCAAGTATGTGTTGGAAGTGATGTCCATAGCCGGGTCTTACCGGACGCCTGCAGGGAATGTCAGCAACTGGACATGTGAGTATCAGGTTTTTGAGGGCGATCTCAGGCCTTGATGGAGCAGGGGTAGTCTGCCCATCATGAATGTTCACAGCACATAACTGCTGGCTTTCGTAGAGGATTCCCGACCCCACTGTAACCCTGCATCACTGAGCACGGTGCTGCATCACTGAGCAAGGCTCTGTCCATCCTGAGCATTAGTTCCACAACCCTGGATTTGCTCAGCTTCTGAATCTGGAGGCTATAGTTCAAGAGAGACTTGGCCCCTGGCAATAGGGGAGGGAGCAGGAGAGTGGAGAGTCAATGGGATGAGGAGATTCGGTTTCCCCTGCACTTCACCTGGCTGGGTGCAAACTCTGCTCCCAAGTCACTCGAGGTGACTTGCTCCACCTGGAACAGGGCTGTCTGCTCAGCCAGGAAATAATCAGAGTTTGCACAAGTTGTTTTTAGCAGCCTCCAGGTTTTTAGATACTGCCCTCCAGTGAAGATAAAGTGCCCCATCCTGCACAGTGCACCTTTTCCAGTGGCACCGCCAGGACACCCGGGCAATGTCCTCAGACCCTTCACTAATACATCTGTCTCCCATCTTGTCTCCCCAGATCCCCTTGCACCACATAGTGTGTACATGACGAACCAGGGCTATACTAACCGGCTGAGCGTGTCCTGGAAAGCTGAGCCCAGAGGACAAGACGGTTACAGGCTCTTTCTGTACCATGTGGGATCAGGTATTCTGGCAGGCAACGCATCTGTTGGGAAAAGCACCAACAAATTCACCTTCTCTGGCCTGGCTCCAGGGCACAAATATGTGCTGGAAGTCGTCTCCGTGGCAGGGCCCTACACAGCCTCAGCAGGGAACATCAGTGACTGGACAAGTAAGTGGCAGAATCAGAGTCCTTTGTGTCACAAGTGAGGTTCAGGCTTCATGGGGCAGGCGGCTCAGCACCTGCAGTGAGAAGATGCAGCGACAAGCTTGGAAGTGCTGCCTGGAAGTTATAGGTATTGCTGTAGCAGCAGATTTTTAGTCTACTCTAGCTCCTGTGGAGGGGAGAGGAGCAGGGAATTGCTGTTGTCCCTAAGACATGTCCCTAGGACCCAGCTATAGTCACTGGCTGTGGTCACGGGCTGGCAGTTCCACTGCTCATAAATTGCTGGTTCCTCCAGGCATGATTGAACAAGACAAGGGATCCACGGGTGCTATTGCTACTCTGACCAAGGACATCTTCAGATCCTGGGGGTCCATAAGGCCACACAGCAGGGTGAGGGAACACCCATTCTCTAAGGCATGCAGGAAATTCCTGGCATAGGGGATAAGGGCAGGCTGAGATTTTTTTTTTTTCAGGAATGTGGAAATTGGAGATAAGCACAATAAGCCTCTTCATGTGCTTGTCCCCACAAACTGTGCACTTCAGTTGGGGAATCCAGAGATCTCTGCTCCCACGCTCAGCCGGTCCCTGGCAGGGTACTGGGAGTCATGTGCAGAGCCCTTCGGGCAGGTCTCTACTGAACACTTGCTAATTAGCAGGAGAAAGAACCCATCTTGTCATGCTCATCAGTTTGCATGTGTACCCATCACCATTTAAAGGCCATTTCTGGTAGTGACAGTCAGAAATCTTATCACTAAATATAGGAAGTTTCCCCCTGTATTGCCCATCTCCTGTTTCTATCTCTGCAGAATGTGACAGGGGTTCTGACATGCCAGTAACACTCTCACAATGTGGTTTTCTTTTTAGCCCCCTCAGTTCCCAAAAACCTCTCTGCGGTGGTTGAAGGGAACAACACAATGCTCGTCTCCTGGGACAGTGTCTCTGGACAGCAAGATGACTGCCAGCTGCGGCTGCAGGATCCCAGGAACAGCTCCCTGCCCCAGCAGCACACTGTCACCAAAGGTCAAGTGCAGCACACCTTCCAGGGGCTGATCCCAGGGAGAAACTACTCCGTGTCCTTGAGCTGTGTGGCTGGGCCCTACTGGAGCAGCACCAAACCCTTGGCAGTGCCAATAGGTGGGTTTGATCTGCTGTGGGGCTGGGACGAGTGCAAGCTGGAAGAGCAAAAACATTTGGTTGCCTCAGGGCTGGACCAGCTCTTGGGGGCTGACAGCAGAGTGGGAGATATGGGAGACTGGCAAGGTCTACTCTTCTGGTGGCCGTCAACCCCCTGAGCTTTCCTCAGCAGAGATTCCCCATAAGCCAGTGACCTGGCAACTCGTGAAGCGAAGTGGACTCTGCAGAGGACAATTGCAATGGTGTAGTTCTCTTATAGGACACATCCTTTCCATGCCCTGGCCCATTCACTTTGTCTTTTGGCCCCAAGTACAGAAGACTCTTGGGGCACGTTCAGGTCTGCCCTCTCCCACAGACCTAGGGACTAGCAATACCAGGCCATAATGTCTCTGTGGTGATCCACGGGTTGGTGTTGGGATTCTTCTGATGTAGTAAGCTCAGAGCCTGTTGTATCCAGGGCTCTCGCTTTTGCAGAACCGAACCCAGTAGAGGATGTGCAATGCCTGCCGGAGTCCAGAAGCCTTTACTTGAATTGGACCAGTTCTTCTGGAGATGTGGAGGCATACGAGGTGGTGACAGAGAGACTTTCTGATGGACCTTCCACCTCCAAGGACTCTGTGAGTGTCCCTAGCAGTGAAGCCAGCCTGGAAGGACTGGAGCCAAACTCTTCATACCAAATCATTGTGAGCACAGTGGGCAAGAACAGGATGAGGAGCCAGGCTGTAACTCTTCTGTGTCACACAGCAGTGGAGGGTGAGTTCTCTTATTTCCTACAGCCTTATCCACAGATCACAGGAGAAGACATCTGACGTTGCTAATAAAATTTGGGGACTTTTTCAGATATCTATGAGGCCCATGTGGTCCTGCACTCTACTGCAGTGGGGCAGGGCTTTGGGATGATGTTGCTGGGGGCACTCAAATGCTGAGTAGTGCATGGTGGGTCTGTGGGAGCTGGGACACACTAACAGGCTGTGTTTGCTGGGTTCCTCTTCCAGCCCTGCCTCCACCCCTGCGAGCAGACATCTTCCAAGTGGAGGCCAGCTCCACAGTGGTCATTTCATCTGACCTCTTCAGCGAGGAGAACGGCCAGATCGAGTACTACGGTGTCATTGCTACCACTAATGACTCATGTAAGTGTCCCTGGACTGCAGTGGCTCCCTAGACATCACTCTGGAACTACCAATGTCACTTTGTATCTTTCCCTCCAGTGCTGAGGCCCACCCAGGACATCATGTCCAGCACATGGTACAACCACTATTATGGGACTGAGGACTCCTACTTGGCTGTCCTAATCCCAAATCCCTTCCATCCGAGCCCCAGGAGCTCTCTGGAAACCTGGCCAGTGCCAGTGGGAACAGAGGAGTGTGGCCAGTCCAGGGCAACATGCAACGGCAAGCTGAAAGCTGACAAACAGTACAGGTAGGATATGTCACCATCCTGCTGGGACGAAGGGGCTGGGGGATTATAGGGACTATGTGACTACCCTGCAAGGTGCCACCAGCTCCCTTGCCTCACACTCCGGCAGGGGAGCCCATGGCTTTCTCTTCCGAGCAGTATTTGAGGAATGCAGGGGCTGACAAACCAGGGAATATTAGTGTCAGTGAGCAAGGAAAGGGAGAGCAGAAACAAAAGCTGAGGCTGACAAGGGCTGTAAATGCTGCCTCGGCAGCTCGCCAGATGTCCAGGGCAAGAACAAAACAGCCACGCTGGCTTAGACCAGGACCTTTCTGACCTCATCTCTTGTTGCTGCCAGCAGCCTCAAATAGGGTTTAACAACAGTACAAATATACTGAGATACACTTCCATCCCCCTAGCACTCTTTCAGCCACCAGCCAGTTTGTGTTTACCAGCCCTTGGTGTTTTCCAGCAGAGAGATGACATTTTCTCTCCAGGATCTTCTTCCTGCACAAAGGATATGGACAGCTAATTCAGAGCCTGTCTGTAACCTGCTTGCTGTGATTGAAAAACATGCCTTTAATTGTCTGGTCAATCAGGAGCAGGAGTTCCTCTTGCAAATTTCTGTAACTTGCTCTCCTTTTGGCTGCTGTAAATAGTGTGTAACTTACTTCAGTAAATTGTCCTGCTTTTCTAGTTAGATCCTTAGGAGTATGGTAAGCAGATCCCTCCAGTGGCTCCTCCCCACTGTGAAAGTTAGCTTTTGTTTCTCATCTTTTAGCAACTTATTTATCTCCAAGTTTAGCTCTTGTCTCTTATGCCATGGTGTCTGTAGGCTGAGTTACTAAAGATATCCCGAGCCTAGCACACCAGGTCTGCAGTGCTGCCAGAGGGAGCCCACTTGGATTCACCAACTCTTGGCTGCTAAAATGCAAAGCTGATTTTGAAAGTCCTAGCTTTCCTTAGGGTCATGAGGGTCTACCCTTTTGGGCTACCTGTTCAGAGGACCAGGAATCCAGATCTGTGGGTCTGTGATGCTTGGTGTTCACATTGCTTGGAAGACACACAGCCAATTCTGGGTGTCTGGGATGGATGTGCATCTGGGCTCAGCTCTCCCAGCTGCATCGTCCTCTTTGGGCAGAGCAGCTCTCACAGTAATTAGTAGATTGACCATAACTGGGACAGTGACTTGATTTTCCCTATATTTTCCCTACTTCTGTCCTGTAGAAGAGCATCTTACTACCTGTCTCCACAAACAACCTCTCAGAGAAGAGCTGTTTGCTATTTGTGCTTTTTGACTTTTTTTTTTTCACGCTCTCCTAAATGCAGCAAACATCCAAAAGGCAAAAGTGGGAGAAAGGACCATTTTAACACATTACCTAAACTCCCTTGAGAAAACAAGTCTTTTTCTAACATAGCAAAACAGAGGCAGCTTTCACATCCTTTTGGGTTTTCTGGCTGCTGCCTGCACGGGTGCTGTGATCAGTTCAGGTTTCCCCTGACTGCAGGGCTGTGCTTTACCATAGGTTCAGTATCGCTGCCTTCACCAGGTATGATCCAGTAGCTCCTGCAGTGTCGTTCACCACATTCTCAGGTAAGATTGACTCTGTATTTCACGGTCACTTTGTGAGATATACCACATGGTTGTGCATGTAGAAACTATTAATAACAAGCTAATTGTAAGACATAGGGGAATTCAGGGGCTTCAGTAAATGTTGTAAATGCAGTAAATGTAGCCATTTACTGGCTCTAACTTCTGTCCTTTTATCATCTTTTGACTTCAGCTGTTCAAGCAAGTGTAGATGCAACTCCACTCCCCATGCCAGTCATAGCTGGAATTGTCGTGGGATTTCTCTTGACACTCACAGCTGTTTTTGCTTTGGTCTATTGCAAACAACTCAGAACAAAGAGGTAAAGATAAGCTACCTTTTACCGAGTGGGTGTAGGGTGGGAATCTGAGGCCAAATCTCACCTTTAATGCCAGGCCAGGAGAAAGAGCAGAGAGAGGGTATAAAATGCCCCAACTGGGACACCTTCTAGTTGGAGTTGTGCCTGAGAGTCACAGAAAAGGCACAGAACTGAATACATCAGGCAAAGGGGAGGTGCCTGTGATTAATTCACAAAACCTACAAATTTGCAAGGAAAACTATGTAATGTGAGCCGTGTGCTCCCAGGTGCTCTGTAAGCCAGCAGGTTGCAATATGCCTGTAGCATCTATGACTGCAATGTAGGGGAGAGTAACATCTGCACTTTGCTTGCAGAACCAAGAAGAACAGCCTGCCCCAGGAAATGGTGACTTACAGCTTGAGGTGAGTGCTGCTGGCTACACTCTTTTCCTCTCCACCCCTGCTGGTTTGTGTCAAGCCAGGTCTTGACTCTTCTATCTACCTCTCATACTTTGGATCAGGAAAAATCAAGCTGTCCTCTTTCCAGGTACTTTTAAATCCCAGGCTCTCCCATGCTCAGTATTTTTGTCTAGCTCCATTTAAAGTCAATGGAAGTGGAAACACATTGTCCACACCTCTGCAAAGGTTTCTGCAGTGCTGGAATATGTTCATCATCCTGAATTCCCTCCTGTCGCGATAAGCGACGCTCTGCTGGACCCACTTCCCTGGGCAATGACAAGGGCTATAAGCCACCCCTGTGCATGTCCAGCTTGGTGCTGCAAGCCTCAGGGCTGGGCATGTGGCTGCCCTGCTGTACTTCTCAATAGCTAAGGCACGTTTTCCTTTGGACTTCATGCAGAAATGTCCACCGGCCAATCCCTGTCCAGAACTTCAAGCAGTACTATGAGATGAAGACAGCAAGCGGCAATCATGCTTTCTTCCAGGAATTTGAGGTAAGAGAACAATCCTGCTAGGGATAAGATTTAATTTCCCCTCCTCGAGTGCTGCTTCAAATCCAGACTGGCTCCAATGAGGTTTTGATTCCTCAGCTTTGGCCTAGGCTGTAGAAATTCCACATCTCCAGGGCCAGTAATCCACCTGTGTAGAAATCCAAGCACATTGCTAGACAATCTTAGAGACCAGAGGCAGCAAGGACCAAGTGAGCAGGTAATTCCCTTGCTGAAGAACTGGTTTGTCCAACTTCTAGTAGAAGTACATGTTTTGTGTGATGGAAGGTGAGATTCTAGCACTATTGACAGCTGATGATAGGCAAAACTAGGGGGCCCAGGCCTGGGCTGGAGGCAAAGATACTGAGTGATGTTGCAGTGAGATCCACCTTGGCAGTACTGGAAAAGGGCCTGAACCTAAAATGAAGGAGCCCTCAGAATTGTTGGATCAGGCTGTGAAGTTCGTCTCAGACTAGCTTCACTGGCTCCCATAGCAATTTCACTGCAAACAACTGAAGCTTGTGATCTGCTCTACAGCCAGCCCATTTGAAAGCGCACCAATGACTGAGGCAGAAGCATCATAAGCTCTTTTGGTCTTCTCAGAACAAAATGCTTTGATTTTATCACAGATTTCAGACTCCTGGGATTTTTTTTTTGTCAATAATTGTTGTTTCTGTTGGTTATTTCCAAACAGTGCTGTTGGAAAAGGCATGGGGAAAATCCACCAGTGGCTCATAGTACATAAGCTATGCTGGGTAAAAAGTAGAGCAGTTCCCTGTGCGTGGGTGAGCCCTTTCCTGATCTCTAGAAACACCAGACAGAGCTGTTGGCATGAAGCTGGCTTGGCCAGGAACAATCTGGATAGACACCTAAGGTGCTTAAGCTTCTCCCTTGTCCTGCAGGAGCTGAAGGAAGTTGGAAAGGAGCAGCCAAAGGTGGAGGCTGAGCTATCTACCAACATCTCCAAGAACAGATATCCCCATGTGCTGCCCTGTAAGTGCTATCTTCTCCCTCCTCCTCTGCAGAGCCCAGTGATGGGAGTTCATGCTGTAACGGACAGGGAAGGGTTTACCTTGCAGCTCTGCAGGCTTCTCAGTGCCTGGGTCCTCTCCTGCTTCTCTCCTGGAAGGAGTTTTGTATGGCTCTTCCATTTCCCTTTTCCTGTTGGATATTCAAGATTTAAAAGCTGAACCACCTTCCTCCTCAATTCCTCCATGCGGCTTTTGAGCAGCTGCTGGATGAGCCCTGCTCAGGGAAGAGTCCCCCAGTTACAAATAAATTGGGAACCATGAATATCCCATGGTGCCAGATGACAGACCGAGGAGGAGCAGCTCTCAGTCATCTTCACTTCATGATATTCCATGATAATAGCTCCTCTTTTTTATCCTTCTGCTATTCCAGGCAGGATGGAATCACTATCTGGAGAGCAGAGTGTCTGGCAGGAACACAGAGTATTGTGGCTGTCTACATGATACGGAGCTAGGGGAGCTCCTGGGACTTGTTCAGACATTCTGTCCCTGTGAAGGAATTGGCCATGTCTTGGTGAAGGGCTGTCTTGGGGCATCATGTTTGTTTGGTGTCTTTCAGATGACCACTCGCGAGTCAAGCTGAGCCAACTGGGGGAGGATCCGCATTCAGACTATATCAATGCCAACTTCTTGCCTGTGAGTGCCCGCTTGCCTTGCCCAGGCACAGGGAAAGCACAGGGCAGCAGTGGAGAAGCTTTGCCTGGATGCAGGTCATGAGGGCTGGTGGTCAAGAGTTACCACTGGAACAGCAGCCGACACAGATTGTGGCAAGGTCCTGGGAGCTGGGCAGAGATGAAGAGTTGTCTGAGAGCTGGGGTTAACGGAGACAAAGAGAGATGATGGGTGATGGCTGTGAACGCATGGGTGTGAGTGTGGGGAGACTGGCAATGCTTTCTCCTTGAGAACTATCCTCTTTCCAATCTCTCCCAGCTTACTGCCCCATCTGTCTGTCTGCTCTTTCTCCCTGTGGTCTATACAGCTGCATTTGAGCAACCCTGGACCAGTGCCCATGTCCCCTGTCCGGGGGGATTTCCCAGGTAACAGCCAGGGACACACAGCATGCGTGGGTCTGTGGATTTGCAGTGCATGTGTGTGTTGGCAAAGGAGCAGGCCTGAGTCCTTGCATGCTCACCTTACCTCAGGTAATGCCTGGGGGGCACCAGACCCTGTTCTGTCTTTCCTTGTTTGAATCTGGAATAGGAATCCTTTGAGGAAAGTGTTGGGGTTGGGGGGCAGCACATCTTTCACTCCAAAAACATAGTGAGCATGTGTTGGGGAGCACCTGCTTCCTGTGTGGTGGCACCTCTCTGATCAGCTGCTGGGATAACTGGGACGAGGAAAATGAGCATCTCCCCATCTACCACAAAGGCACACCAGGAACTGACTGTCCCAGGGAAGGACCCACCTGCCTTGGGAACTTGCCAAATCTCTGTCTGGCTCTTGCTTAGGGCTACACATCACAGCAAGAGTTCATTGCGAGCCAGGGCCCCCTGAAGAAAACAATAGAGGACTTCTGGAGACTGGTATGGGAGCAGAACGTCTGCAACATCATCATGTTGACAGTGTGCATGGAGAACGGGCGGGTAAGTCTGCACTGCATTTTAACCACAGCCAAGACATGGGTAATGAGACCTGCATAGGACCATTTTCTGGAGGGGACTCTGGGATCCAAAACAAGGGGTGGTAGAGGGGAACTTTGTCCAATTCCTGGTGGGAAATGTAACACCCTTGCCTGTTTCCCCCGTTCTGCCCCTGCTGCCTTGGCCTCCCCTGCAAAAAGGTCTCCAGGTGTTCCTAGAGAGCTGTGAGGTGACCCACTTATTCTTCCCTGCTTATTCTTCCCCTCACTGGCCTTGCTGTGACCATGATCTGCCTGTACTCTAGGTCCTCTGTGATCATTACTGGCCGTCAGAATCTGCCCCAGTATCCTATGGGCAGGTCCAAGTCCACCTGCTGAAGCAGAGCAGCTCAGAAGAGTGGACCATACGCGAGTTCAAACTGTGGCACGTGAGTATGAGCTCAAGAAGACAGAGTCAGTGCCTCATCAAAGCCTGTGGGTTTGCTAAGGAGAGAACTGGACCCTGAATTCTCCTTGTTGGTAGACATCTGGAAAACTCTGTCTTCCAAAAGCAGGATTCAGTGCCTAGTACCCAGAGAAACAGATTGTCTCTCATCATAGTTTGGTAGCACAAAGATGTGCATCATCCCTTCCTTCCTTCTGGCCTGGTATCTTTGCAATGGGGCATGACCTTCAAGGAGTTTTGCCTTCTGATGCTAAGAGGGCACATCCCCAGAGTAGGAAAAGGCGAGTCTCCTCCCTGCCACTCCACCCAACTCATCATGCCAGGGAGCTGTGGAGAGAGGCAGGTCAGTAGGAGCCATGGAACAGTGCAGTAGAGCGCTGGCACCTACTCTGTGCAAAGAGAAAAAACCAGCCAAGGGATGATTAGTTTTTACCACATTTGCAGCCACAGGTTGGATGAGGAGAGGCAATGAGTTGTTGTCATGGCCTCTCTGCAGCTCCAGTGTGGACATGTCCAAATGCTGTTACCCAGACCCTACCAAATGTATGTACTAGGATCCAGCCCTCCCAGAGATGCACATTGCACACAAGACCGTCCCACCAGGCTGCACACTAATGATCAACATTCCCTCCAACAGGAAGGCTTCCAGACAGAGCGGCATGTGTCCCACCTGCACTACACAGCATGGCCTGACCATGGCATCCCAGAGTCTACAACTTCTATTATGACCTTCAGGGACATAGTCCGAGAACACATTCAGAGCGCCAAGGATGCCGGGCCGACCCTCGTGCACTGCAGGTGAGGCACTGCTCTGTGGGGAGAGGGCTGGTGTGGAAGGCAGGCAGGGAAGATGGGAGAGAGCAGGGAAAAGAAGATTCCTGCTCCTGCATGAGCCCGTGGCCCCATCCATCCCAGATCCTCGGCAGGGTATGGATCATGAGGAGGGAGAGCAGCATCCGGGCTCTGGTCTGAACAGGGAGATGATCTGAAAAGTTCCCCTGCTTGGTTGAGGGAGATTACAGGAGAGCTCATAACCTGCCTTCCATCCCAGGGGATTGAGAAATGTGAGGATGTTCAGCACCCTCTCCAGACAATCTGAATAGTTTCTCAGCCACAGAGTCACACAGGGAAAAGAGTCCCACAGTACAGCATCTGGAAGCCATTCCTAGAAGATGAAAGGGAACCTGTAAGCGACACAGTCCAGTGAAATTTATTCCTTGCTATCTGTGCTGTCTCAGTGCCGGAGTGGGCCGCAGTGGCACCTTCATTGCTCTGGACCGTCTGCTACAGCAGATGAAGCAGGAGAAGATAGTGGACACATTTGGGGTTGTCTACACCTTGCGGATGAACCGTTACCAGATGATTCAAACCCTGGTAAGCCATCTACTTTCTCTTCCCCAAGGCCTTTCACTTCTTGGCAACAGCCAGCTCCAGCACTCCCAGGCTGATATCAAACATGATGGTTTGTCATCTTGTTGTTCAAAGCATTCATAGCCTCCAAGCTAGGGTGGAAATTTCCACCAGCTAGGGTGGAAATTGCTCTTCTTCCATGGGGGTCTCCAACAGCTTTGTGTCCTTGCCAGATCCACAACAACAACATGCAGTTTCAGAGCCCTCCCAGCAGTCTCAGAAGAGCAATCTATGACCAGAAACAACTAAGAACATCTAGCAACAGGGTTAGGCCCTTCACAGATAATTCTTGACCCACGCCATTGACCTAAGATGCTCCAAAGATGCTGATATTTGTGGTGCTCAAAGTGTCAGTACTACCCTTCCTGCCAGATAAGAGACCCAGGGAAAGGATTCAGGGGGGCAGAAATTGACTCACCAGGGGCTTTGGAACATGAATGTGGGACTTATTCTGTCTAATATGTAGTGCCATCCCTACCCGTTCATGCTGTCTGTGGTGCAGGACTGCTTTACACTGTTGTCTGCTTTGCCTTCCAGTCCCAATATATTTTCCTGCACAGCTGTATCCTGGACAAGATCTTGGAGGAGCCACTCCTGGGTCTATCAGGAACAGAGACGTAAGGGCCCTCACTCATTTTGCCTCTGCTCTATCCGCTCTGATTCACAAGTTCTGGCAGCAAGTTCAGATTCCAATGTCTGTTGGGGTCTTGATTCCAGGACAGGAGGACTGGGCAATCCAAACAACAATCCCACCTTGTGTTTTGTGGGGGTTACCCTGGGGCTGGTTGTTCCCTACAGTATGTGGAGCCCAATCCATAACCAGCTGGGAGTCACCGGACTCAGGGGACTGCATCCCCCTTTCCTTTAGTGGCAGGGCTGCACCGGTACCAATGAGCTGGGTTGCAGCTGTGTCACCGCTGTACCCTGCAAAGCTTCCCTAGGAAGGCATTTATATCAGTGTCTGAATCCTCAAACCACCAAAATGCACTAGCACTGGGTCCAAACTGGAAGGGCTCATGGCACCTTGGTGGCCTTGGGATGTCCCTTCTAACTGAAGCCATGAGGATGGAGCAGGGTTAGGCTGGGCCTGGCTTTGCCTCCCTGCCTTGCAGTCTGAGGCTGCATCTGGAGGTCATACATGTACACGGTCAAATTCTCTCCCCCCTCACTCAAAACAGAGTGGATTTGTCTATGCTGCCCCTTGTAACTGGGGTATAGACTCTGTTAGACCTGGGACAGGGTCTTGCCTGAGGGAGGCCAACTTAGCATGAGCCAGATTCAGACTGATGTGCTACAAGGGTCCAGGCATCTGAGGGGTGGTGATCTGTCCGCAGTCCTGTTTTGCTACTGTGGACAGAGGACGGATGCTGCTGGCTTTGCTCAACCTCATCCTTAACAAAGTTTCTTTCCCCAGGTCCTGCCCTATCCCACTCAAAAGCTTTGCACAGCACTGTGCCCAGAAAGCATCCAAGTCCAACATGGGCTTCCTGAAGGAATATGAGGTAAGACATGTCCTGAGAGGGACAGAGAGGACTGCCACTGCTGCAGGGACTGCCAGCACAGCCACACAAACTGAGGGAGCAGTGGGGAATGTTATCTGCTGGTCTGGCTGGGGTTCACTCAAGAAATACCCCCTGAGTGGGACCCATGCCTTGGTTTCCACCAACACAGCTGTTCTGCCCAGGCTCCCTTCCCTCCCTGGCATTGCCTCTCTGGGCCATATCTCCCTAACACATCCTGCACAGAGCAGACACTCCCAGATCCCATCCAGGGTAGGGACCTACATGAGCACCACTACCCTACCGGATGGTAGCAAAGATGCGGATGTCTCCTGGCAGTGCAAGCCAGACCCAGCAGCCCACCCTAGCTTGGCGAGGGGGTTACATAGCCAATGTATCCACCTCTATGCTGAGACGTTCTCAGGAGCACACAGACCCTCCTGTTCCTCTTGACCCATCTCTGCTCACTACTTTCTTCACCCTCTCTTATTGTGGCAGACCCTCCTAGAGGTAGTCAAGGAAGAAGCCAGCTCTGCAGCATCATCTTCAGGCAGCCAACAGGCACGGCCCTCGTCCAGCATCCTCCCATGTGAGTGTTACTGAGACCTCGCAGCCTCTTTCCTCCTTTACCTGTGTGGAGCCAGACTAGACCAGAGCTCTGCAATACAAAAGAGTGACACACTGGCATGAGTCCACCAAAAGATTATCAGGGTGGCCAGGGGCTGAAACACATGATGTATGGAGAGATGTTTAGAGAGGCCGATTTGTTTAGCCTGCAGAAAAGAAGGCAAAAGGGAGATCTTATTGCTGTCTACCTGCTAGGAGTGGAGACAGAGACAGGCTATTCTTGGAGGTGAGACCTAGAAGGGCAAGAGACAACAGGGACAATTTGGAACACATGGAAAATTCCAACTTTGTGCACAGGAAAAAATATCCCAAAACGAAGATGAACACTGGTTGGGGGTCCCAGAGAGATTATGGAATCTTCTTCCTTCAGGATATGCAGTGCTAAGATAGACAAGACACTGAGCAACCTGCTGTAACTGAAATTACTTTGAGCAGGAGAGTGGCACAGAAATCTATGGACCTTTCCACCAACAGGAAAGGGTTTGTCTCCAGCATCTCCACGAGAAGCTCTTGGGCTGTCTCTAGGTGATAAATGTCCATAAGTCAAACAGAAGCACAGCAGAGGGATAATTCTTTTCAGAGAAATTGAGAGATGGGAAGGTGGTTGATGGATGTGTGCGGCTTTGGCAGAGTCTGACGATCAGTTTTCAAGAGCTGTATTACTGCAGAGCTGCCCTGGCTCTCCTCACGTCTCTTGTATTTTGCAGATGATCGCTCCAGAGTTAAGTTTTCCCTGCTGGAACAGGGCACTTTTTCAGGTCTCCTTCATGTGTGGCATGTCCCGGTGAGTTGTCTGTCCCCCCACAAAGCTGCAAAACCCTCTTCAATACCTGGGTCCTGTCACTTCATTTTCCTATGGGTGGCAAGTGGTGTCCAGTCCTTGCTCTCTGCTCCCTGGTTCCTGCTCTTGTTCTACCAGCTCCACTGGTCACTGCTGCTTTGTTGCATGTCATACATGAAGCTCTTGTGGACAAGAGCATCATCTCTGGGAAATGAGGATGTGTCTTTTACCTCTCCCCAGTTTGGCACATGTCCGCTTCTCTTCCTCAATGCTTTCTCCTCTCTCTCTGCCTCCAGATTTGTTGAATTTCCCGTCTCTTCCTGACTTCTCTCCTGCAGTCACTTGGGATGTTTGAATTCCTCTGTCTCCCTTTCCAGCCAGAGAGTGACTTTCTCATTTCCCATCCAGGGTTGCAGTTCCAGCAGGGATTATTTGGCTATCCAGGGGCCTGACAAGGTGACCATGGAAGAGTTCTGGACCCTGATGTGGGAACAGGATGTCCACACAATCCTAACACTTCTCCCGTGGCACGAAAAGGGGGAGGTAAGGCATTTTGTCCACCTGCAAACCTGTTTTACAGAGCTGGAATCTAATGTTACTCCAAAACAAAATCCGTTTATTATGCCCTGAAGTTTCGATACAGAACCAGCTCAGCTAAAACTGAAACTTTTGCATGTCAAAATGTTCTTGCAGCATGTCACAGGACATGGATTCTGTACTTTCCCACTGTTGGGTTCATGGGCTGGGTGTTTGGACTCAGCTGCTTCTCCAACATGGTTATTCAAGCTGTATCTCAAGAGCACCCTAAGGATGGTAACTCCTGCTTCCTTCCAGCTCTGGAGGGACAGAATGAAGGAGGTGGAGAGCTCATGGTGAACAGAGTCCCACTGCCAAGGAGCAATCTGTTAACGGGAAAGTTGGCTGCAACCAGCTGGTGTTTGCAAAACTCCCCTAGGATGAAGCCAGGGGTTGAACTGCAGTGATATGGGAGGTGGCCTCAGTCCAGCCCTGTCGCACACCTTAAGGTGATGGCTGATCTCAAATATGGTCACTGTCAAGATGAAGTCCAACTTGTTGTTGTGCACAGGTCCCATGTGAGGCATGCTGGCCCCTGGAAGGAGACTCGCTCTGCACAAAGATGCTGACGATCCAGTGTGGTGCAGAGAAATCTGTCTCAGGATGGAGGTGTATCCAGCTCAAAATGAAACACGTACGTGTTCACGGTGGTAGTCTGTCTCCCACTGCCTGGGATGATTTCATTGCTGGCAAACAAGTCTAGAGGGGCAAGGACTCGAGTGTCTGCAGAGACCGGGCTAAGCTGCTAAAAAAAAGTACCAGTAGCCCATGGATACAGGAGGGAATCTAGGATTGCAATATCCAGAGAGCATCTGTAGAGCAGATATAGGACAGGCACAGGAGAAACCGTGGAGGCTTCTCCCACCACCTGACCAATAGGACTTTCTGACCACTTTGCAAAGACCTTCTCAGTCTTTCTCTCTATTTCTCTCAAGGGAAAAGGTAGGATGCCATGAGGGAAGGATAGCAGGTTTCTAAATGCCCCCGCCACTGGCCAGAGGGTGGGCAATGAACCAGCAGAGAATTGATAGCATTATAGAACCTAGCACTACAGGTCACAGAAGGCATCTGGCAGCCCAAGGGTTGGAGATCCGGAAGCTTTCTTCATCCAAACTCACCCTTCCCACTGAAACGGCCAAGCCAACTCTTGTGTCTTCCCAGGAGAAGAAAGCAAAGGAGAAGCAGGTGCAACGGTTCCTGTATACACTCTGGAGCAGCAAGAAGCAGCCAGATATCCAGAGCCTGGTGGAGTTCCTCACTGCTGTCAGGCGGTGCATACCGCAGCGGAGGAGAGCCAGTCCTCTGGTCCTGCACTGCAGGTATGCGGGAGCAGATTTCTATCTCCAGGAGCGAGTGCCCACCAGGCTGTGCACCCTGCCATGGCCCCCAGCAAACCAGCGCTCGGAGACTTCGAGGCTGTAGGACATGTTGAAAGAAGGTCTGTGGGAGAAAGGGAAGATCTGGAGGTCACATGGAGCAATGCAGCCCTATGGGAAAGGAAATCAAATCGGGCTGGGTCAGGGGTGGGGGGAACAAGCATTCCTGGCTGAGGAATTCTGCTGAGGTCCTGGGAGCAGCTCTGATGGCCTCATCTGCTGGGTAGCAAAGAAAGCTCATGGTCCCTCAGGAGCCAGCCCAGCTGGCACACAGTTCCCCTCATGGTGGGGATGGCTCAGGCAAGGCATGCACAGCTCAGCAGGGTAGGGTGGATCTCCGGAATCCTTCAACTTTGGGGTTTCCATCCTCCTGGTTTCTCCAGGGGTTCCTGTAGTCTACCCCAGTGCTTACAAACTCTTATCCCCGCTGAACACAGTTGTTGCATGTCCTCATGGGGCATCCCGTGACGCCAGGCATGTCTGTTGCTAGAGGGTTGGTTCAGCCTGGCCTGAATCACGCCTCTCCCCTGTCCTTGCAGCGGCGATGTGAGCCAGATGGGGCTACTGATTGCTCTGGATTGCCTTTTGCACCAACTGAAAGCTGAAAGAAGTGTGGATGTCTATGGGGTGACCCTCCAGCTAACGAGAAGCTGCTGTCTCATGACCCCAACACTGGTAGGTGGGAAAAAGGGAGAGTGGCAGGCAGGGAATGTCCTGGCCAAGCAGCAATTGGACACTCTATGGAGCTGCTTGGAGCTTAACCAGCACATTTCCATTCTGAGAGTGTTGTCCATCACCTGGGATCTATTTAGGCTATGCAGCAACTGACTCCATGCTCCGACCCATGCTGCTGGCTGCTCTGCCAGCTGCTGAAGGCTAAGGATACTGTCTCTTCCCAGGGACCCTCCCAGGAATAGGCTCTCTTCAGTTTATGGAGCTAAACTATATTAAACATCATGTGAGCTCATGATAAACGCAAGCCAGCCACATTCCCCATCCTGCCCCAGAAAGCAGGAACCACTAGTTTGGTGCTGTATGGGCAGCTCCTGCTCACCCTTGGCCCTTGGGCACAGCTACCAGCCCAGACACCCAGAACCTGCTGTGTATCTGTATTTTTGCCTGCCACATGCTCTACCACCCAGACCTGGCTCCCAGCTGCAGCCAGCAGGACAGCACAACCTGTGGCAACAGAAGCCACCGAACTGTGGCACTGTCTGATGGTGCTGCAATCAGTGCCGTGCCAGCCCAGGACAACATGATCCATGCTTCCCAACATGATACTTGTGATGGGCCCTGCTGGCACAGATACCCTCTCAACAGCGCTTTCATTTATTGCAACCACTGAATAAGGCAATACAGTATCCCCAAAAACCCTCCTCTCAAAACTGGGGCAAATCTCTTTGGGGTTTCCCAGCTGCAGAGCTGCCTGCAAACAGCTAATCACATTCCTAATTAATACGAACCACGCACATGGTTGGAGCTGGAGGAGGGCAAGGCCTCTGCTGCCCTCGCTTCTGAGCTCCTTTGTGTTTCGGCAGCGCCCTTGCTGAGCAGGGACACAATGTGCCCATAAATGCACAGCAAGTACTGATTAAAGCCGCTGCCCCACTGAAGAGGGAAGGGCCAGCAGAAGTAGCAGTCCCCCCACCTTGCCAGAAGCAGTGGTTACTTTCATCCCAGTATGTCCTGTCCCGGCCAGAAAAGGACATGTGAGGCTGGCCTGCAGTCCCAGCCTCTGCCATGTGGTTGGGGACTTGCTAGGACGCTGCCTTTATTTGTGGCAGGAGCACTCTGCTCTCATGCTTGAGGCATCAGCTGATTTTTTTTTTTGAGGTTTTAGCAGCCAAAGAATGGGAAAATGAACCTTTGATTGTCCACATATAAATCTTGGGGTGTGCGAGCACCCGCAGCGTCAGCACACAGCGAATCCCAGGACGTCACTCCAGATTTCTCAGTGGGCCCCAGCTCATTGAAAACCTGCTCTGGTGACCTGGATTTGCAGCCGTCGTGTGATCCACGGCTTTCCCAGTAGTTCAGTGGGGCTAAAGCTGCTGCCAGCGGGGGAGTGGGTTCCTCGTGACTTGCGGCTTAGCCAGGGCATTAGTGAGGCTCTTGGAGGCCCCTCTATCACCCGCCTAATCCCCCTTTCCTGCCTACCATGTGATTTCGACCCACAGCGTTTGCAGGCTGGCCCTGCCCTGCGGCTCTGTACATTGAACACAACTTCATTTACCTTTCCCACAACTTCAAAGGAGCCTTTCCCAGATTCCTGCCATTGCAGTCATCACTCCTCACCCCAACCCTCACATGCCCAGCACTTCTGTCCCAGGCAGTTTATAGCACAACACTGTTTTGGCTATTTGGCCAGAATCTCTCATGCTAAATCTAATATGATCTTGGAATCTCTGGACACAAGGTTGGTGCTGATGAAATAATTCTGTTTGCCTTAAAAGGATATATATGATGTAATTAGACTTAAAACACCCAGATCTTTTTGTCCAGCTGTGGGAGCTGGCAGAGATCGAGCTTACTCTGCCGTCAAGCCTTGAGTCAGATGTGCTGAGACCACCACAAAGGGAAACTCTGTCTCCATCAATGTTCACCTGGTAAGACTCACGTCACTGCCGGACTGCTCTGAGCACACCAGCAAGCGCCAGTGTCAGTGGATTTGCTCTGCAGTCTTGTTTTGGACACCCAACCCGTGTCGTAGTCAAAAACTGCCAGCATGGTTTGAGGAAGTGAATATATGGTTTTCTCCAGGTCTGAATTTTCCTTTCCAGACAGCTCTTGTTACACAGGACAGACTTGGACCATTTGAGACAGTCAGTCTTTCTCTACCACTGACACTGTTAGCTAATCTTCTTCATAAAGCAGTTGCAGGCACTTTTAAAGCAAACTGCAGGATTAATCCTGCAGTCAGCAGGCTTGAGTCCTCCTGCCAAAAACCTGATTTCAGAACCCGTCTTCTCTTTTGTAGGACCAGTACATGTTCCTGTACACCAGCATCCGGGACATCATTGCTCAAAAACAGCCCTAGACCCTCTCAGCACTTCCTGGCACCATCCTTCCCTCCACCAATGCAGGGTCCCAGCCCGAGCCAGAAGCTGGAGAGGAAGCACTGTGGGATGCTTGGCAGAAATGAGACTCACATCAGCTGATTGCCTCATCAAGAGGAGCCTCATCAAGAGGACTGCATCAAGAGGAGACTCACCTGGATGCAGCCACGGGTCCTACATGGATTACAGGTGCTGGCAGAGACATGAGGACTTCTGATGTCCTATCACACTGCTGCAGTTGCTCAGATTCCTGGTGTCTGGAAGATTTATTAACCTAATTGTGGTGCATAGTCCTTCCTCCAGAGTCCTGCAGTGCTTCTGCACCTCAGCACAGGATGGATAAAACTCTCTCTGCAGGCCCTGGCTCCAGCAGGCTGCTAATGTCTCATAAAAGCCCTTGACTGCATGAGCATCTCATAGCATCCATGGGCACGGCATGCACTGAGATGTCAAGTGTTGCTGTGGGCAGACCATCCTGGGAACAGACCTGTCTTGGATGATGGATCACTGCTTGGTACGAACAATACACACTCCTAGGAAAGAGAGTGCTCTTACAAGTGGGTTGGCTTTCCTGGGGCCCCACAATGCTCCAGGACATCTCCTGCTGCATCAAAGTATCCATTCCCAAAGGGCATCTGTGTCCCTATCCAGGATGGCCATGAGCAGTGGCCAGCCCGTGTACAACAGCCTGTGTGTGCACACATAGGAACCGTGCTGAAATTCTGAATGCATCAAGAAGAGCAGGAGCTGCTGATACTAGGAAGGCTGGTGCTCATCCCCTCAAACAGAGGAGAGATGAACCATATCTGGAACAAAACCCAGCATTTCCCCACCAGTGGTGTTGGACAAATTCTGTGGGTTTCGTTTACTAGGTGTAGCTCAGAAATCCCAGGCACTGAGCACAGTTAGGTATTAAAGATGTGTGTAGATGCAAGCATTAGCCTACTGTCCAATAAACGCTTATTGAAGGTCCGCAGTGTCCATCGAAAGCTGAGAAATGTTCATATTTGTATGTGTCACCATGGTTTGCGATGCATAAAACACCCAGGGCTGTGAGTCTCAGAAGCTGTCAAGAATGTCTGTGAAGCTCCATGACCTGGGAAGTGAAGCAGATCCCAAATACAGTGAAGATGCAAAGCCTAAGGCACTGCCCTGAGACAGGATGCGAGCAGGAGCCTCATGGGGTTGGAGAAGCAGGATTCCCTGAGGAGGGCTTCTCCCTGAAGTCTGTGTGGGGCTCATGTGGCCAGCCCCCACCCACCATGGTGCTCATTGCCCCTTTGGTGGGATGTCAACCTGTAGCTCCATGCAGGGAAAAGATTGCCCTTGTTTGGCCAAGCACAGCTAGGGGCCCTCCCAAGAACCTGTCCAGAACTGACTGCTCAGAACAGCAGCTGACAATGTTAAGGAAAGGAGCATCTCCCTGTCCTCTCATTGCCATTTTTCTGCAATCAGATCTACCCTGCAGCTTTCAGAGTCATTATGCCTGGGGTTCTGCTCAAAGCCATGTTCCTCGGTGGAAAAGGGCTGGCTCTGGCTCTACTGCTTGTGGCACAGAAGAGGCCTGACGGGGGGATCATGTTCCCAGGGCCTTCCTGTGGCCTCTGCAGAGTGGCTGTCGTTTGAGGAGCAGGAGCAGAACAGCATCCCCACAAGACAACTTGGTACCTCTTCCCCTCCATGCAGAGAGGTGAGTTCCTCTGGCACAAGCCCCTCTGGTCCCCATGGGGTTCAGTTCAGCACAGGACTGTCCATCTGCTTTGCCTGCTGAGCTTCTGCTCTAGGCCCCACAGACAACTCCTCAGGAAAGTGCTGGTGAGTTTTCTGTGTGTCCACATAGCCCCAGCCATGGCCTACATGGATCAGATGCCATCCCAGGTCTGATGTGCAGAACCAGTCTCATTCATGGCAAAGAGATCCTATGGGCACAAGCTATCAAGAAGCAATTGAAGTGCATGATAGGGGAGGCATGTTACTGTCTACGGAGCTG